AAAGAAAGGGAGAAAGAGGGTCCCCTTGCTTGACCCCTCTTTTGGGCTGAAAAAAACCATAGGGCACCCCGTTGACTAGAATAGATAAGTAGGTTGCTTTAAGGTTTTTAACAATAAGATGCACAAAATTATCACAAAAGCCAAACTTGTCCAAAATCTGGCCAAGAAACTCCCAAGATAGCCTATCAAAGGCTTTGGCCATATCAATTTTCACCATAACATTTGACCCCCTCACTTTTTTATCAATAGAATGGATCATTTCTTGTGCAATAAGAACTTGCTCTGAAATATCTCTGTTCTGCATGAAACCAGCCTGTTCAACTGAGATAATTTTGGGCAATACTTTAATAAGTCTAGTAGCCAAAACTTTAGTGCATACTTTGCTAACAAAATTAGAAAGACAAATGGGTCTGAAATCAGCAAAAGTAGTAGGATTTTTCAGATTTAGGAATCAGAACCACCAGACTACTAGCCATGCCCCTAGGAATATGCATGCCCATGAAGAATTCTTGTACAGCTCTAATAACATCAGCCCCAACAATATGCCAACACTTTTTGAAGAACTTGCCATTAAAACCATCTGGACCCGGAGCCCCATTTTGATTTAAATCCCAGAGGGCAGTCTTAACTTCATTATCTGTAGGTATCTGCATAAGCATATAATTGTCCTCCTCATTAACCAGTGCAGGGATGTGTTGCAGGATGCTTGCATCTTCCATTTGACTTTCAACAGAGTATAGATTGGAGAAAAAAGAAACAGCTGCATTTCCAATGTCAGGTGGACTGCTAATCAGCTGACCATCACTATTGATTATATCTTTAATATTTTGCTTCCTTTGTCTGATTTTTACAAAAGAGTGGAAGAACTGAGTATTAGAATCTCCATCCTGGAGCCAGTGAATCTTGGCTTTTTGCTTCCAATATTTCCTTTCCATTTTATATTTGTGGAGTAAAAGAGCCCTAAGATGAGACCAGTTTTCTCTATTAGTATCAGATGGATCTTCCTCAAATTTTTCTTCTGCCTGATGAACAAGACTTTCACAAAGTTTGACCTCATCAAAAATGTTACCAAAAACTTCTTTATTCCATGTCCTGAGATCTTTCTTAAGATTTTTAAGCTTGAAAATCAAACCTCTCATGCCACCAATAGTGGATTGGGATTGCCAGCTTTTCTTAACACAATCCATGAAACCTGGGTGGGAAAGCCACATATTTTGAAACTTAATAGTTTTAGGCCCATCATGAATGGATTGATTACAGCTAATTAAAATAGGAGCATGGTCTGAGGGAGCTTTTTCCAGAACAGAGATCTGAATATGACCAAAGAAATCCACAAAATTAGAATTAACAAGACATCTATCCAATCTTCTGAGAACTCTGCCATTAGCTCTTTGACCAGACCAGGTGAACTTTGAACCCTCATGTGGTAAATCAATAAGATCACAAGAACCAATACAATCAGAAAATTCAATAATGCTAGTAAGATTAGGGATAGCATTACCCCAGTGTTCATCATGAGCAGCTATAGCATTAAAGTCTCCCCCTACTAACCAAGGTTCAGCCATAGTGTCAGAAATTGAGGTAAGATCACCCCAAAGAGCTCTTCTTGAGATATGAGAATGCCCTCCATAAATAGCAGTGACCCAACCAGAAAATTCTTTATTCTTAACTTTCATATGTACATACTGGGGATTCCAGATCACATCAGAAATAGAGATAACACTAGGATTCCAGAAAAACCAAATTTTATTAACTTCAGAGAATCCCACCTTCTGGAAACCCAATTCAAACATAAAGTGATTAGCTCTAGAACAATGAACAAGAGGCTCCATAATAAACAGAATATTTAACTGCCATTTAGAAACAAGGGAATGAAGTCTAGCACTGGCAGAGCTAAGACCCCTTGTATTCCAAAAGAGAGCATTCATTTAAAAAGGCTAGGATTAACATGCAACCCAGAATCAACAGATTCTAAAACATCTTTCTTTTTAGCAGCATTTCTGGTTATTCTAGCAGTAACCTCAGAATCCTCCTTTTTATTTTTCCTTGAAGTAACCTTAGCTAATGTTTCAACACTTTCTGGATTAATCTGTGCAGTAAGTGCTTCTGAAGACTGTTCAATCATAGAGGAAAGCCCAACATCAGCTTTCTCAGAATGATCTGCACTAGCCTTATTTGATGCTTTCCCCTGCAGAGAAACAGGTAATGAAACAGTTGCTTCATTGGAGAAATCTTCCTTTGCTTTAAGAGCTTTTTCCATAATAGCAACTCTTGAAGCAATGTCAGCCCAACTCTCTTGCCAGTTCTTCAGGGGTCTTCTTTTCTTGGCATGTTCTCCATCAGAGTCATATTGCTTAGCTAACAGTTCTGGATCAACATCCAACTGTTTCAGCAGAGGTTTGAGTCCCATATCATCCTTCATTGAGTGAGCTTTAGCTTTAGAAATTCCTGGAATGTCTGAATGGAGTAAAATTTGTAGCTCCTGGTTCCATTGTGCAGGTTCTTTAATAGAAGGGCCCGGGGAATCCTTATTCTGAGAGTGATTAGTCTCATGATCACTAGAAGGCAGCTTGGGAGTGGGTGGATCCTCCAAAAATATTTCCTCCACCAAAGAGTCATCATCCTTAGTATTAGAGGAAGAAGGTTGATCAGAAGTAGAGCATGAATGTAGAGCCCCCTTCCCTTTATCCTGATATGTAATAATTGCCTTTTCTGCCCTTGGGATATTGTTTGAGTTATGCTTGATAATCCACCGCTCCTTAGGTAAAGATGTTCCATTAGGCTGAGTATTCTCCGTAGGAGGCAGTGCCTTAGGATCTGATCCTTCCTTAGAAGGATGAGTGACATGAAAGGGACAATTTTTATCGGCATGTCCCAAATGGAAACAAAGAGAGCAATAAGAGTGCAGATTCTCATAAATTACAGATTGAGAAAAACCAATTTTGCCACAGTTGATCCAAATCTTCTGTGGCATCTCCTTTGTTAGGTCAATCTCCACACAAATCCGAGCTTGATAAGGTCTGGCCAATGTGGCAGTGGCCGAATCCAGCTTCAGTGGTCTTCCAAGAAGGCCGGCAATATCAAAGAGAGCTCTCTTGTCATGTAAATGTATAGGCAAGCCCTCAAAAGTAACCCAAATTGGGACTATAGGAGATTCAACGTTTGGTCGAAAACTAGGCGACCATTTAGTAACCCTCATATCCTTACCATGAATATTCCAAATCTGTCTATTCCAACATCGAAGATAATCCTCTTCCCGATCAAAACGAATCAAAATATGTTTTCGTTCCAGGACTCCCAAATGGAATGAACCTTTGAAACCATATCGTTCAAAATTTTTCCTCAGAATATCAAGGCTGGGACGGCCCTGGAAAAAATACCCAACAAGAGAATGCAAATGCCTACTAGCAAGAATATCTGCCTCATGTTCTGGAAAGCTAATAGACGGCAACCCCTAGAAACGAGAATGGATCTTCTTAGAGAAGGATCCAGAGTTACTATTCGCAACAACGTCAACAAACGATCTCCCATTCCAAGCATTAGCAGGCGGCGGTGGCGGCGGCTGAGCCGCCGTCAAAGGTGTAGGGTTCGAGGACATAAAGTTAGGATCCTGTCAGCTCTCCGGGGCACGGAGATTAATAAAGTAAAAAAATTGCGTGATTAAAATTTGTGCAGAGGAGAGAGAAATAACTGGAACAAAAAATTCTTTACTTAAAAGGGAAAGTGGCAAAGTTAGTTAGACATCCAAAAAAAGATTGGCGAAGTTTTAAGGGATGAAGAAAGTATATTATAAGATTGTCATTAAGATTTGAAAATAACACTTACGTCAGATGTGTTAGCTTAGCTTATGTACCATTGACTTGGAATTTTAGCCAGCTAAGCTCCGTCATGTCATGTGATTGGTTGACTTTTATAGAGGACATCAATGGGAGGGTGAAAATGGAGAGTGGGATGGGGAAGCCAAAAGCAGACAGAAGGAATAGCCTCTTGAACGCACCGAGGAAAAAGGAGGCTATTGGACAAGTGTAATCAGTGGGACCCAAGGGAGAAAAATCTCTTTTTTAAAAAAGAATTATTATTTTTAATTTTTAATTAGTTTTTATAAAAATGTATATTAAAATATACATTTATGATCTTTCCTACAAGTGCATATATACAGACATACAGTTCATAAGGAATTGAAATTCGACTATTAGAATTTCTTACTTTCTTAGTGCCAAAAAGTACAAAACAAAACAAACAAAAAACATAACCAAAAGATGAGACCCATCCATGAGAGCCCACATAACATCAAAATACTACTCCCTTTGTCCCAGTGAATTTTGCCATCTTTCACTTTTTGGTTATCCCTTTCCCATTAAAACAACTAATTTGTGATTCTGCACATTTCCTTTTCATCTGCACAAATCTCAACCACACAATTTTTACTATTCTTACTTCTCACCTACTTTGCACTTGGCAAAGTCCACCAGGATGGAGGTAGTATCATATTTAAAATTTGGTACTACCAAAATTCTATTTTGGAATACGCAATTGTGTTTAGTTAGGCATGGCCTCGGTTCGGGCCGCCCGGCCCGGGACCGGCCCGACCCGCTACTGTGCGGGCCCGGCCCGGCCCGGTTTTCCGGGTCCGGGTCCGGTTCAGGCCGGAGGCCCGGGGGTGGGGCGGTTCCGGGCTCGGTTCATGGGTTTGACGGCCCGGCCGGTTCGGGCCCGGGTCCAGGCCAAATCTATTTTTTTTTTAATTTTTTTCATTTTTTTGGGCTGTTGGGCTTGGGCTATCTGTTTAGGCCGGTTTGGGGGGGTTTGGGGGGGGGGGGGGAAGAAAGGGAAAAAAAAATCAAACCGGGTGGCCCGAACCGGCCCGGAACCGGACCCGGGACCTCCCTACCCCGGTTCGAGCTCGGGCCTGCTATTACTGAACCGAGGCCCGGCCGGGCCTAGGCCCGAGGCCCGAACAGGCCCGGTTCAGTCCACCACTATGTTTAGTCATAGAGCAATTTCTCTTTAATTAATGTTCTACTAAAACCATATGTAAAAAATATGCCGAAGTGTATTTCACTGTACTCCAATACTAGAAAAAACGATATTGATGAAGCCCATACATTGTTTTTGTATCAATGAAATCCATATTTAAATACAAAGATTGAGTCATGCAGATACCCTCACACCAATCTAATCATGTAAAGCATAGGGTAATTCGTGGTCAGATCGACCCACAGGAGTTAATCAGGCAAGTAAAAAAGCTCGGCCCAAATCAGGCATTGTACCAGATATAAAATATCAGCAAAAAAATAACTACTCCCCAGCGAGTACAGCATATTGCTCCAACCAACACTTATTGGCGTTTAGGTAAAGGGAGCAAGCAGTCGTACACGCGCAACATTCGCGAAGTAATCTTCAGTTTATGTGCAGTCGGAATATCTGGCTTTGCCAAATTAATTATATCCTGTCTCAAACTGAGAAGAAAAACGTGTCATAAAATTTCAAATTCATATATGTAATTTTATCCCTGCAAATAAAGTTTTTTTTAAATCAGACTGGACCGGTACAAAGAATATTTTTGAAAAACAAAATACACATAATTTTTTACCTTAAAAATTAAAGCATTTTTTAAATCTGGGGTGGGTCGGCTGACCTCCCTCTAGCTCCGCCCCTAGATTTGGGAATTTCTACCACAACAACAACTAAGACTTGCAAGTTATTAGAAGTCAATGTGTTCATCTCATCTGATTGTTTCTGATTTGAATTCTTCTCATCTGGTCTCATCGGAATCTTTCTAATTTGATCTATACTTCTGATCTGATTAAGTGTTTATTACTATTCTTATGATAATAGTTTGTGTTAGAACATTAAATTTATTTATAGGTTTTTAAGATTTTTTAAAAATATTTTGTGTGGTGAGTCATCAACATTACAAAACATTAACATTTTCTAAAATGTTGTGTTATAATGTTCAAAAGTGTTCTAAAGTGGTATGATAATTCTGAACAAGTTCAAGGTTTTCTCAAGCCAGGTACCATTGTGAACTGCCCAGAACTGTTACGGATGGATATGGACATATGAGGTGACCCATTTGTTGCGGGTTGGGCCGGTCCAGTCCACACTAATGTGCTAACATGAATCGACATGCGACATTAGAGTTAAAAACAATAAATAGAGAAAATTGGAGACACATAAAATCAGATTTATTTGTACTGCACCAATTTCTTTTTTTTAAGAGGTTGATGGAGAGAGATTAAAAACAAAAGGACATAAACAACTGGGACAAATTACAACAAATAATTTTAAGTAGAACTAAAGCAAACAAAAAAAGCTATCCAAAAGGAAGATAAGGACGAAAAATATATTAACTATCCACTTCGAAATGACTTGAAGCAAAAACAAAAGGGAAGCAGACCTTATCCATTCACCAGTTGCCCTTGCATGCCCTTCTGCTGCATAATGCAAGCGGTCCAGATAATAAAGAACCAAGCCGAAATTACTTTGAGGAGTTTGAGCATCATTTTCCTGAGGAACAATATGAGTATTAATATTTGAACCCCATCCAAACCATATCAATCTGGGCTGTTCAGCTTATATAGCTCTTGTTTAGTTAATGGGGGTGTGGTATTTACAATGAAAATGAATCAAAAGAAATGAAATTTACAATGGGCTTGACTAACTGACTCTACACTAACTTCAATCAATCCAGCTAGAAAAATAACTCCAACTTTACTTATTTTGATTATTACACAACTTAGCGCGCGAAATCAAAAGTTACGTGTTTGGTTAAAAGTTGACATATAAGACCTATAAGCTGAAAAACAGAGTGACCAAACGGGCACTAAAAGTTATATTGAAATACATGATTTCACGAAACACATGTTCAGTAGTTACTTTTTAGGTTGAGCAAGGATGTTTTTACGTGGACTGGTTTCAATTGCAAACATGACCAAACTTATATAGACTAGACCTTAATAGTTGTAAAATACACAGACCAGATCAGACCATACCAGATTTAAACAGAACAAACCAAATTAGACCATATCAGAAAGTTTCAATCCAAGTAATAATATCCTAACAAATACACATAAATCTGTAAAACGAAATCAACTCTCCCCCGCCTCCAAATTTCCCAACCAAATAAGCCCTAAGGGCATGCTTGGAAATCATAGGTTTTTTACGCACAAAAAAAGAAGGGGCCATTTTTCATTTTTAGAAAATAGAGGTCTAACCCTCTAACTTTATAACTCCAAAATAAAAGACATAGATAATAAATTAGTGTAGTTTCAATGTCCTAGTCATTTGCTTATTGCCAATGTCACGGTCTCAATTTCAATTGCCTACAAAACATTACTATGCATAATATATTCCCCAATGAAGGTAAAAGTTGAAAAAGATCCCTCCCCTACCTCTACCTACCCCTTCAAATATAAAACCAAACTCCCAAGCATACCCTAGTCTAGGCTCTTTAGAATGCCTACTGTTGTGTTGAGCCACTTCCAGCAAATACTATAAATTTCCTGAAAATGAACAGTTCGAGTTGTTACACACTTCTAGTCTAGGCTCTCTAGTGTATTTCTTTGCACCAAAAGCTCGGTAGATCAGTATATGTACATGCATTTGAAAAACATGGGATTTCGGAGTCCATGCACACTTAGGCTCTGTTTGGCAGCGAAATAAGGCTAATTTGGCTTAGTAAGTAGCTTTTGACTTGCTTATTTGGCTGAAACGGATCTTACGAAACGTCTTTAACTTCAGAGAGATTGGCAGATTCGGTCATTTCTGCCCCCAAAAAAACTTTTACCAAACGGGATCATATTTTAGGAGGACAATGTATGTGTGAGTGAGTGTGTGACACCCTTACAAGAATCAGGCCGTTACTAAACAAAGGTAGTAACTTACATTCTTCATTCCAGAATACATCTGCAAACGTTAAATATTATGAATCAAAAAAGAAAACCATTCAAAGCCAAAAATATGTAAAGATCGAGAGGAGTGTTCTTACTCGTCCTTTATAATTGCAACTTTCTAATTGCATAACTCTTCTCTCAACTTCTACAACAAGAAGCCTTCTTTGGATCCTAGCAACTCTTCCCCTACCTTCAGCTCTAGTATCCTAATTCAATGTTTAAAAAAAATCATTAGTAGCACCTCCAAGAATGTGTGGCCAATTTTTCCACGCAGTTTCATTTTCATTTTTTTCCCTTCAGTTCAAGTTTACTAGCTGCAGTCAATTCTGGAAAGGTGACTATTCTTATGGACACGAGATGCAGTTTTACAGCACTAAGAGAAACATAATTCAAAACGTATTTCTATAGAATTGGAAATGAGCTAATTACATGACCTACTCAAGTGCACAAACCACAAGCTTTACACATTTATTCTGAACTAGGGCTCTGTTTGTTTCCAGGAATATAACTTCATGTGGAAAAAAGTTGCTCGATTTATATTTGGATCTTAAATCCACAAAAAAGAAAATTTAGCTTTGTTTCAAGAAAATGTTTTCAAAATGAGAAAAAAAATTCCACAAGTCTATAGAATCGTGCAAAACACAAGAAAATTGAAAAAATACTTGTCCTCTAAATAAAACGAAACTAGAACACAAAAAAGAAAAAGAGACTACTATTACCCGTTTAAACCATGCTCTAAGCAACATCATAACAAGAACAGAGAGGAAAAAAGCTGGTAATGCAGCTAGAATAGCAAAGTTGATTTCATTTGCTCTAAGAATTTGATCCAACTCAAGCATTGCCCTGATTTGAAAAACATATATCAGGAAAACAACAAAAACAAATTGATGTCCCGGAATTTCTGGATAACAGCACTGTTTTATTTACTAACTCACTCTTCAATGTCAAGTTTTAGCTTTTGCACCTGAAATCATAATAAATGTTACATTTACAAACCAGAAAAAAATCAATTTATGATTTTCTAAAAAACTAGAATGCTCACTCTGGTATTAGCATGTGAGGGAGTAAGAGGGTCTCGTTACCTGGATAAGCAGCGCACGGGCAAGCTCCCCAGAGAGAAGATTTTGGATTGGATGCATAAGTTCTTTTTCATATCTACATTAACATAAGAACCACTTCAGTGTACATACAATATCATTGTATGCTCACGTTTTGCACCACCAGCCGACAACAAGTACCAGACCGCAATTTAGGCAAAAAGTGTTCTCGGAATAAGGTATTTGTACACCTTAGCAAACTTTTATATAATCTTTTACTCTTTTGTGGGGGAGTATGCAAGCTAACATTTATGAGAGCAACAATGAACTAAGGTTATTACTTGAATTCATTATTTTCTACTTGTAAAGGCTAACATCAGCACAAAAAAAGTGGGTCACACCTTTCCATTACAACTTCTAGCATTTCATTGTCTGTGGCATCCTCTGGAAGCTTGTCGCCTTTTGTCTGCTCAGAGAAAGCTCGCAACATTCTGCAAACCACAAACCATTTCTCAAATATATATGAATAATGTTCACGTACGAGAAGAAGATACACTTCAGCAATATTAACTACGTTTGTACATCAAAGTTCTATTTGCATATACAAAACAATGCAGCCAATCAGATGCAGAGAGAAACAGCAAAACCGGCACTAGGGTGTACACTTTGGCTTGAGGCGATGAGAATCTAAGTAGGAATTTATATAGGAGAGAGGTATATGTTCAATTTTGTCACATAATGAAACTAAAAAGAACCATAAGGTCTAACAAAAGGGGAACATTAGCAAGTTCCGCAGGTTGACGGATGGGATATCTGATACGACCATGCTAAATTGAGCTGGTTTGTCATATGAAAAACTTGATGGCGCCACGTGGGATATAAAGATATCAACAAGACAATAACATTGAATTACCACTTAAGAGAATGTGCCCGTGGTTTCACAAACCTGTGTAGAGAGTTGGCTGTTATTTGTACTTCTTCAAGTTCGATTGCACCTTTCTCCCTCTTCCTGAATGTTTGGAAAAGTTCATCTCTTATTGAAAGAATCTGGTGGACAAATAAAATGACAATTACATTTAGCTTAGAAGCATAAAGGGATAATAAAAGAAACAGTAAGCAGAATGTAGTGTACACAAATCACAAACATAAACTAACCCCCCCCCCCCACTCCAGCCCAATGTGCGCACACGTGTGGGTGTAGAGAAGCACACACACATGTATATTCAACCGAACCAAATCTAATAACTGATTTGCTAAAACACAAAAGATTCAGAGAAAATCCTAAAAGCAATTTACAAACTGAATTTTTAGAGATTATGGTTGCACTTTAGATAACATCCGAAGGTGGTTAGGATCCTCTGCACCACAGTTGTTTGCTACTGTCAGTACAGCTCATTGAAAATAAATTTATATATTTTATGTAAATACATATATAGGGGAGGGTTCTAGTTAGAATCCCTTTTTAAATGAGAACACATTTAACCAAAAAAACAACATATGTATGCTAACCAATGGTTGAATAAAATCAAATATGAAATTGGCTTGCAAAATCCTCAACAATGCGCACTCCCCCAACCTCACTTCAACCTTCTAGTCACAGCATGAGCATAATGGTCCTTCATGGAGTGCTCAACTCTCAGATCGCTCACTGTTATCGTGAAACAAATTCCGTCGCACACAACCTGTTTCAGATTGGTCTAGCTTCTTCTGGCTTCTGAAGAAGAAGCTAGATACTGATGCAAGTGCCAATCATGAGTTGCAGCGAGTGAAATAAGTAACCTGACAGATGTTAGTTTAGCAACAGGAGAAAAAGTGTCAGAATGATCAACAACATAGATTTGAGCATAACCCTTCGCAACTAATCGGGCTTTCAACCGAGCAACAGATCCGTCTGGGTTAACCTTAACAACAAAGACCCACTTACATCCAATAGATTTCTTCCCTGTAGGCAAGTCAACCAAATCCCAAGTACCATTAAGATCTAAAGCATTCATTTCCTCTGCCATGGCATGACGCCATTCAGGATGAGACAAAGCTTCTTTGACAGATTTGGGAACAGAAATAGAATCAATGGAAGCAATAAAAGAACATGAAGCAGGAGATAACTGATTGTACGACACAAATGAAGAAATAGGATGAGTACAAGACCGTGTACCTTTACGTAGTGCTATTGGGAGGTCAAGATCTGATGTGGAGACAAGATCTGAAGATGCAGGTACTGGTTCAGGACATGAGATCGAAGTCGAACTAGTATCAGGATAAGTAATCACAGGTATCGCCGGTGGAGGGTGATCAGGTGCTTTGTGTCGACGGGTGTATACCAAATTTACGGGAGGCGTAGGGTCAGGAACAGTAACTTGTGGAATATTTGTCGAAAGTGTGGACTCGGGAATAGTCACCGTGTAAATGAGTATATCATCATTACTCTCATGAATATCTGCCTTAGATGATGAAAAAGGTGTATTTTCGTGAAATGATGCATCAATAGAAACAAGATACCGACCAGTACTCGGACAAAAACATCTATACCCCTTTTGGACTCGAGAATAACCCAAGAAAATACATTTTAATGATTTGGGATCTGTGAAAGTATATTAGAATATACTTTAGAATATGCTTTATTAATGGGAGAGATGGATGTCCTAATCGGTAATGAGCATCTAACAAAGTCCCAACCCCAAGACAAGAGATACCTTTTGTGATGGATGTATCCAAAATATAAAGACCAGCCGACTCATGTCCTTTACCAATAATCTGCTTTGTTAACAGATTCTGAAACACACAATATCCAGAACAATTAAGAGTACGAGTGATTTTAGAAGCAGATTAAATGCAATATTAGGAAGACTCAAAACAGGCGATAATGGTAATGTAGAAGTTGGAACAACAGTACCGTTTCCAAGAACGGGTGAGGTAGCTCCATCAGCTAAAGTGACACTAGAAGTAGGTAAATATGAATGAAATGACGAGAATAAACTAGGATTACCGGTCATATGATCTGTGGCACCTGAGTCAATGACCCATTTCGAGGATGATGAAACAAGACATGTGTTTGAAATACCTGAATTCGTGGTTGCCGAGATAGTGACAGATGAATGCTTTAGAGATTCTTGGTAGCAAATAAATTTGGCATACCCGTCTGAAGAAATAGCAATTGATCCATCAAATGAACTGGTAGCGGAAGCAACATGAGGAAGCTGATTTCCTTGATTTTTGAACAGCAATTTTCTACATTCTGTGAGCAGGTGCCCGGGCTTCTTGCAGTAATTGCATATTACTCCTCTGCCAAATAGACCCGTACAAGACATTTTTTTCTTTTTCCTTTTTTCTTTAATTTTTTTTTTATTTTATTTTTGATTTTTTTTTGGTTTTTTTTGGAATAAGTAAATAAATACAGCTAATTAAGACTTACCAGCGGCAACTCAATGAATTATACGAAGTACTCTTAACGCAACCCTTCCTAATGACGGCCAGCTCAACAAGTCTCAAATCCCAACCTTATCAACAGTGTACGAATAAATAGACAAAATATATATGCAGCCCCTTCCAATATCTGCGACGCCAACCCTCGAGAAGCTTGTGGATCCAAAAGCTTGGAGATCGAAAAAAAATGGATTCGCCTGGAAGATAATACTCAGGCGACCTAGATGGGGATTTCCGATCACAAATCCGGTCAACTATGAAGCTTCACTCGCTAGCGCGTGCGGCAGCCAAGAAAGCCTTTGACGGCGCGTGTGACTGACGCGCGAAGCTTTGCCGGTGCAGACTCTAAAGACGTGGTCGGCGGTGGTCTAGGACAAAGGTTCTGGTTCTAGGGTGTATTGATGTTCTGAAATGAGGGTCTGGACAGAGGTTCTGTTTAACGGTGTGTAGAGGTTCTGAAAATGGTTTGTAGAGGTTCTGAAAATGGTGTGTAAGGTTCTGAAGTTAACTCAAGTTCTTGGAGAAAGAACCCAGCCTGAAAACTGAACTGAAATCAGCCTGAATACTGAACTGAAATCTGAAAAACTAAACTGAAATGGAAGGCTCTGATACCATGTTGAAATTGAAATATAAACTGCAAAATATAATATTGAAGAGAGGAGGAAAGATTTTCTGTATATTTCATTGAAGGGTAAAGCCCTATAAATATAGATTACAAAGATAGAATATTCCTATAAAAGATGCTATACAATAACAGTATATATGGTATATTCCTAATATATTCTAAAGCATATTCTAAAGTATATTCTAATATACTTTCACAACCAAAGAGGGACCATGTTCCATTTTCACTAAAGAGGATGGAAAAACAAACAGACAAATAAAGGAAAAGTGAAATAGACGCAATCATAACAAATTTTGAAGTATAATCATAGAGCTATGAAATTCATCAAAATCGTGAACACTGATACTCTTACATTATTCGTCATGATATGCAGCTTACCGGTTGCTCTACGTGACCATTCCAAAAACTAACTGTCGACTCTTTTGCTTCACACAACCAATTGTCAATGTCAGAACTCCCCATCAAGCGGCTATGCCGCAGAAGCCATATTGAACAGATTGAGATGCCAACTATCCCACAGGTATAGCTCATCCAATGAAGAGTTGCTCTCTTTGGCCTCTTGTGATTCATAACCTAGGGAAAAAGAGTATAATCATCATCACAATCACCATGACTTAATCCCAACTATGTTGAGGTTGGTGGGATTATGCTTATACATCCAATGAATTGTCAAATTTTAGTTGACTCTAAATTCCAAAGGTAAAAAATAGTGGTAAAGTTTTACATTTTTACATCGGATGTATTTCATGGAGAGTTTAATATGTTTGACTGCACGCTAGGCGCCTGTACCAGAAGGCTGAGGAAGCCAATGAACCCTTGTTCCTTCCTATGATGGCGGTGGAAGGTGTTTGCACTTTGCAGAGAAGAGAACAGAAGAGAGAGAGAGAGGAGAGAGCTTCCTAGAATACGTTTTCACTAAATTCTAACTTCTCTTACTATTACAATTGTAAGGGATAACAATTGTAATGTAATTAGGAAACTTAGAATATCCACTAAAATAATAATTACACAATAATACCAAATTACTAATTGTGGCAAAGCAGGAAGCTAATTAAAATATTAAATCAAAGAAAGTAAGGGAATCAAACCCTCAGTTTGTGTATAATCAAATCTCTCAATGAATGCATCATAATAGGACATCAATGATTAGAGAGTTTCTACAGTCGTGTCTCATCACAAGATTGAAATTGTTAAATCAACATACCATCTAGGAACACGAACATATGAAAAAGTACAAATGAAAACATAAAAGTGTGGCATTGAGGAACAAACATAAAAAACCGGAGACTCTTTATTGAGATTGATATGAAATATGAAACCACAAAGACACTTCCTTCTATATCAACTTTGGTGATAACAGAAGTACAAAAAATTCCGTGAAAAGCATTTTTGTCCTGACATAGGAATAGGTGCATAGCTTGGACTAAATGACTAAAACAAAATGGCTTGTCAAGGATTCTTTCAGAGTAATCATTTTTTCTACCCGAAGCTTCTGATAACACTCTGGTGTATAACAAATCTATGGATATAATGTTTGTCTTCTGGACCATATATTGTGCATAAGCTAGGTTGTTATCTCTAGATGGTCATCTTTTCCAGGATAATGTCTTACTTTGATTAGTTCTAGCTTATCAGCACATTAGAGGAGAATAAATGAGAAGTTGTGGAGAATTTGGAGCACAAGAAATCACAACCATTTGGTCTTGAAATAAGCAACTGGGTTAAGCACACCACTTAACCTTTGCATAAATAAAAAAGATTGGTTAGTGTTCTGCAGGGAGAGTTAGTAACCCAAAAATTATCCATCCCTTCACAAAAAAATACAGTAGCTTTATATCAGAATGAATTCGTTATATGTAAAGATGAAAAAAGGAATGCACCTAGTCATGGCCTCACGGGTGGTTTATTATTTTTATAAAATGCGAAGAGCTCTCTTGACTTTCTCACACTTCACTTATGTACAAATCGATGAATCAAGACCTCTTTCAATCTTAGAATTCAGCTAACACTGTGATGAAACTAAAGCAATGATTACATGGGTTCCAAAAGACAATCATGGGCGGAAATAGAAATAAACACATAGTATAAATAAGTGAAAATGATCCTGAACAAGAACTCATACTATTCTTGATAAGTACGACTCCAAGTTTTGCAAGTTTTGGTTAATAAAGTTGATGGCATCTTGAATCTCACAACTTGTCCAATGAGAGCCACCTTGATTTACTTCTGGAAGTTTCTCTAACATTAAAGAAAATGAATAGCTTCCCTCTGAGGAATAGTCATTCTGCAGTACTCATCAAAATAAAAGCAGTAGACATAATTAGCAAATTAAGATAGACAAGAAAAATCAACTAATACGGGGGGGGGGGGGGGGGGGGCTCACCTGACGTTTTGCATGAAAACGGGCAATGGAAGTGTCCAACTCTAGAAAGAGATCATTGATCTTTACCAACAATGATGACATCGACTTCTCAGGGTCATTGATTAAATCATGTCCAGCTATGTCGACCTCCATGTATATCTACCGTATTAAAAGGGAATTAGTGATGCATATGCTAACTGGCAAAGAAGCTTTAATAATCAAACATTCATACACTACTAGGGAAAGGATAAGCTCCCTACGTGAATTGCAAGATGATCCCAAGATGTCTGTTTTCCCTTTTTTACTTCTTGGGGTACAGATGACTATATACAGGAAAACTAGCACTACTACTGTCCTACGCAGAGAGCAAAAATACACACTTATGCCAATAAACAATATGGTTTGTAGCCACTGATATCTCTCTTACATGCTAAGAAATATTAATCTTAGTGAAGGAGGCTTTGAAAATTTGAACCATATACTTCGTATTATGCTCTGTATTAAAGTAGAAGAGTTTCTAAGGTAGGCAGTAGCATGTAATTGGGTCACCAAATGCTTCACTAGTACAGACCGGTGAAGCCGTGAAATTGCTCCGGCACAGGGATATTTAGTATACAAATGTATACAAAAATCACAGTGCAAAGCATTGTTAAGAATGTCATTAGCTAAATTTTCTCAAAACAATAAGTAAAATTTATTAATTAGTAAATTAGTTAGCTGATGAAGTCATGGAGAGGCATAGCATAATGTCAAATGGAAAACAGATCTAATGTGAAAAACTTAATTAGCAAATTAGTTGGCTGATAGAGAGGCATAGCATAATAATGTCAAATGGAAAACCCATCTAATATGTAAAGTGTCTTGATTAGAAAATTAGGTAGTATATGGAGACTCATAACAATACTATGTCAAATGGCAAACCAATTAATGGAGGATGAGAAACTGAACTTAGACTGCATGATGGATAATAATGTCAACTAACCACAAATTAGTTGGCTGATGGAGAGGCATAGCATAATAATGTCAAATGGAAAACCCATCTAATATGTTAAGAGTCTTCATTAGAAAATTAGGTAGTATATGGAAACCCATCAATGGAGGATAAGAAATTGAACTTAGGCCCCGTTTACTTAGGACTTAATGGACTTAATGGAAATTGTGACTTAATCGGTAAGCTATATACTTCTGTTTACTTACGACTTAATTTAAAATGTGACTTATTCGCTCAGTCAATTTGTGACTTATTCATTCAGCCAAATTTGGCAGTCCTTACGGTTCAGACATTCAGCGACGTGCGCGTCTCTTTTTTAACCCTGCTTCGAAGGGAACGGGCGACCTTTTCCTTTGCATAGCTTCACAGATACTCCATATAACATTAGCCAACAAAACTCTAGCTAAAAAAAACGATGACCTTCACGGCTTCACCGACAACACCAGTCTCCAAAGAAGCGCCGTCCGGAGCTAGTAACCGAAGAATTCTATCATACCCTTGACCTCGGTATTTCCTTTCATTCTATATTGGTTTTATTTGACTTTTTTTATTTGTAGAGTATTTCTTTAAATTGAGGTTGTGTGTTCGATCAATAGTCTATAATTGCTGCCTTGTATACGATTTTTTTATTAATTTTTTCTGGATATATATATATATAGAGAGAGAGAGTAGTCTCCCGGTCAGGCCTTCCTGACCGGAACCGCCGTCCGGACGGCGGCGTTTGGGGCCCACAAAAAATTCCGGACCGGTGAAATTTTTTGATGAAATTTGTTGGGCATGTTCTTCATCAAGTCTAGTTTATCCACACAAAAATTCAGCTAAAAATTCAATCGGGAAAGCAGTCAAATAATTCTTGGAAGATAATTGCGCCAAAATATACATATAAAACGCACTTATCTTCAAAAAAATATTTAACTGCCTTCCCGATTGAATTTTTAGCTGAATTTTTTTATGGATAAACTAGACTTGATAAAAAAAAAACATGCCCACAAAATTTCATCAAAAAATTCCACCGGGAAATCGCCCAAACACCGCAGTCCGGACAGCGCTTCTAGTCTGGAATTCCGGACCTGAAGATTTCTCTCTCTCTCTCTCTCTATACTCTTAAGTTTATATATGTATATATATATATATTCAATTTTATACATATATATATATATATATAAAATTTCTCTGAAGATTTCTCTCTCTCTCTCTCTCTCTCTCTCTCTCTATATATATATATATATAAAAAGTTTATATATGTATATATATATATTCAATTTTATACTCTTAAGTATAGCCCTAGCCCTAAAGTTTCAAGCAGATTGTACGTATGCACTCTTGTCTCTTGAGCATAGCTCATACATACTTTCAAACTAATGCTGTCAAATTAGGGAAATTTTGCTTTTATTCAATTGAATTCCCTTTCATTATTCGTCCATGAGTACAGGAACATGATCGTTTAGAGCTTGACAGGTTTTTGAGCTAAATTGGTTGGTTTTCCATCCAAAAATAGTGTTCATTTGAAATGGTCTGCGTGATTTTTTCCTTGCTTAATGTGTGATGTAAGGGAATTTTGTCCCCAACTAATGTGTTGCCCCTCTTCCAAACTAACGTACTGCCTATCAAAATGTGATCCAGAACAAATCAAAGTCTTTGTAGATTACATTTTGATTTTTTTAAATTAAAGAAAGTGGGAAGATTCCCATATGATCAACACATCCAAAGCACTAAGTTTGACATTTTCTATTTTCTTAAAAAGAGCTATAAACACGAGTCAGTAATACGAGTAGTAGTTATATTGATCAGGATGAACAATGTTAACTTTTAGTCTAAAATTTAACATTTTCATTTTCATACACTATAATTTCTAGCAAGTTACTTCTCCAGTTTTTTCATACACAATGTTATACACAATTTAATACATAATTTTGGTATTCGTTTTAGGATGGGGTTGCTGGTATCCTTTGTAGAAGGACGGTTTGTCATGCTCAGGGCAGAAACAGAATGAGGCTGAAACATATATCAGTTGTTCAGAACTGAAATCATGTGCACAGTGCACTTGAAGAGTTAAGGATATTGATTTTATGTGTGGGAAGTGATTTAGAAACTGTAAAAGTGATTGTCCAGAATGAAGAAAATGAGAAGCTAATTTGGAAGAGAACCTGTCAAGTATTTGCAATGATTTTCCTGTTGCTTTTATTGTCCAGAAATTGCAATAGGTATCCTAAATGAATGATATAATTTATCATTGAATATTAGTTGTACCTGTACTATTCCATCCATGTATTGTTGAGTTAAATATTTGTACTACTATGCTCCTATATGTATGGTTGCTGCAGTTTCATCAATGGAATTAGCTTTGAATATTAGTTTGATGTATATGAATGGAGCATTGCTGATTGTCTAAAAATGGACAGAATTTTATGAATATGCACCAGTTAGTTTGAACAAAACAAAGAATACATATTTGGAATTGCACCGTGTTCAAAGTATATCCCTCCATAAGAATTTTTATGAATATGCTTAAATTTGGAAATTGCTAAAAGACTAATAGGAAATGTTTAAATTTCAAATGTTGTTCTCATAAAATTATTGACTTTTTCTTATCATGTAATATGACTTTTTTATTTAAGTAATTCATAGTATTATTATTTTCAGACATATATAATTATCTTTTAGAACAAGAAAAGTAAACAGAAAATATACATTCAACACTTAATCCAGACATGAGGGTTATTTGGTCATTTGACGTGATTCAAACTTCTCATTCAGCACACTTAGTAAGCAATGTGTTATCTTTAATCCAGCCAGACAGCTTAATCCAGACAGACGTCTTAATCCATTCAGAACTTATAATGAGGAAAAAAAAAGCAAACAGCCCCTTAGGCTGCATGATTAAGAGAAACTGAACTTAGCATGGCGTATCATTGATTGGAGCTTCACAATCATAAGCTCATTTTCAGACAAACACCCAACTACCCAAGTCAATAGCACTACTTTAAATAAAGCTAAAATAGAGTATTAACTCAAATGCATAATTTCAATTAACCAAGAGAAAAACGCTAGTACATGCATACGTCAAGTAAAATCTACACAGGATAAAAGAACCTGAGCCAAAAATGTAGCCAAAAAGCATCTTAAACTGGTCAACACAGTTAATCTCTCTGATATATAAGAGGATGCCAAACTATATGTGTGCTGTTTCCCAGAACCATCACCAACACAATCACGTATCAGTTGAATTGTTCCATTAAAAAATGCACGCGGGCCTCTCTCACATATCATGAAGTATGCTTGTCGAGCATTTGATTCCTACGATCAGATAGGTGGGAAAACTTCATTGATCAAAAAACTTCATGGACGTATATATAAAGATAAAATGATATTCACTAACCTCGGCTTTAGATTGCCAAAACTCTAGGTTCTTCTGGATGTAGTGCAAATTTAAGAAAATGTGTTCTACGATATCCTCCAAAACAACAATAATTCTGGACGATTCAGATGCATCCCTGCACATTTGAAGCAATATACTTCTTTTGAGATGTTCTATATGTACACTATTTGCTTCTACAAAGCATCCCATCAAGCAAAACTGAACCCCATGAACGAAGAAACTCATTCCTCTACTATTACCCATGAAGTCCCTTGTGGAAGTGCGAAAGTGACAGAATGCCTGCTGGAATAGTGAAAGCGATGTGGAGAGATTCGAGAGAATGCCGCCAGAATAGTGAAATTGAAGGCTCTGGAAGGAGTTCAGTAAAGCAGAAGGGGAACGCAATGGTGGGAGGGAGGTATTTATAGGCATTTCCTCTCCCCAACCAATCAAAGATGCACACGTGACACGTGTCTAGGAAGCCCCCCAGGACAGCTGTCAGGCAGAGACAAAACATCCTGCCATCATTACGTGCCTCAAAATACGAAAACATCAGGAATCTTCATGCCAAGAGCTACGAGCCGCCGCAGAAAGGAATGCAAGTGCTGTGCTGCTTCAAACCACGAGAAAACCAAGGCGCACGGTGGTGGTCCCCGAACCCGAGCTATGAAGGTCAACCCAAGGGTGAACGAAAATGAATACTTTACGACATCCACTAGGCACACTTCTAAACATTAGAAATGAGAGACGTGTGTTGGAATATTAAATTTGGCACTCCAAATGACCGACCCAAATCCGCCAAAGGCCTATACCACCCAGACCATGTATTGGGCCGAAGGCCCAATCGGGGTTCCCAACCAGTCGAGACCAAAGGAGAGCCCAAGGCTTTCACACCCGCTTGGGACATCACGGAGTGTTTGGTATATCACCTGGGCGAATGAACTAGCATGGGACCAGCAGCCTGAGTGGTGGGTGCCTGGCCACACATCAAGGATATCCGACACAAGGGCATGGCAACCTTCCGTATTTGCGTCAACTAGGCACACTTCTGAACATTAGAAGTGAGAGACGTGTGTTGGAATATTACATTTGGCACTCCAAATGACCGACGCAAAGCCACCAAAGGCCTATACCACCCGGACCATGTATTGGGCCAAAGGCCCAATCAGGGTTCCCAACCAGTCGAGACCAAAGGAGAGCCCAAGGCTTTCACACCCGCTTGGGACATCACGGAGTGTTTGGTATATCACCTGGGCGAATGAACTAGCATGGGGCCAGCCGCCCGAGTGGTGGGTGCCTGGCCACACATCACGGACATCCGACACGAGGACATGGCAACCTTCTGTATCTGCGTCAACGCAATGAATGCCGAGTGGGAGCTCGGGCAGGAGGCCAGACGTAAGCAGCCCTTAGCCACTCGGCAGGGGATTCAACATCTGGCTTACACTCCGTTTCTGTGAGAAATTCGAAACTGGCGGGAAAGGCATTTAATGCACGAATTTGGGGAGATCATGTAAGAGAAAGGTTGAATCAATTGATAGACGCCACCTAAGAAGCTTAACTACCACCTTCCTTGTATGGATACCTCTAGCATTCAAGAGAGAGGATTTACTCTTTTGTTCTATAGTTCTATAGTAGTGTTGTTTAGAGCATGTGTATAGCATTAAAGACTAATTTTGAGTGTGTTGTAAGTGCTTAATATTAATCACGAACCTAATACACAAAGGAGGTTACCGAACGAGCTCTAAATCTTATTCGGCTATTTCATTCATACATTTCTCCTCATCTACGTAGTTAATTGGTATTTGAATATTGTGTTGAGCTTTTCGCAGAGATAATTAACCTCAAAACTTGGTGGCCAAAAAGAATAGTAGGTGAGGTTCAAAATAAGTTATCACATTATGATACTCCATACCTGTTTTTAGAACAACCCCAACTGAAGGGAAATTTCCAAAAATATTAGTAAGAAGTGAACTTCGTAAATAGGATTAATTTAATGACATAGAGATTTGACATATGACAAGAGACAAAAAGTTTACAAGAGATTAGAAGTTTACGTGGAGGAAAGGGGTATTGTGGCAGAATTAGGCAGAGGAAGTGGGAGACATGTCTTCCTGCGGCGGCACTTGGTGAGGTGAACGGCGGTTCCTCCGTAGAAATTCGAAAATCCAGCGAGCAGGCTCGAGTGGAAAACGGATGATGTAGCGGGAAAGAAGCTACGCACCCGGTTCCAGATATAGTCAGAGTACACGGAAACTGATGTTTTTACGTCCTTCTTCCCCGACGCTGATGTCCCAGAATCCATTGCTACCTGCCAATATCTTAATGTGGCATTAAACTCCCACAAAACATAGTACGAAGTATTACAGATACCGAAATGATCTTTGGTAGTGTTATCCACAGGCTCTCCAATGGGCTGTTTGGAAGTGTGGGTGTATGGATCTGGATAAGAAGCCTAAGTTGAGTGTTTGGGTGAGAGTGCATAAGTGATTCCGGTGCTCTAATTTACTCATACAATCAGTTTTTTAGAAGTTGGGGGAACCAGCTTCTGAAAACTGATTCTGGTGCTGCTTCTGCTTTAAAAAAACAAATCAATTCCAAACACCCTCTTAGACATAATTTTACTTTGTTTGGGAAAGTCAAATGAATGAAGTGTTAATTATGGAAGTGTTAATAATTTTACCTTGAGGCAGAAGAAACGAGTAACGGGAAGAGATGAAAAAAGCAGACCATCAGACCTGCCGCCAAGAGATTCAAAGTGAGATGTCGAATCATTTTATGTTTTTAGGATAAATGAGAAGAGTAATAATTGTCCAACACCTCAAAACACTCCAAATCGGGATGTTAAAAAAGTGGACAATTGAGGTGTTGGGAAAGTTATTATTAACGCTTCTTAACCTTTACTAACACTTCTTAACACTTCTTAATTTTTCTCCCAAACAAGTGTTAGTATCAACACTTACTAACACTTCCATCACTAACACTCTCTAACACTCAATCCAAACAGCCCGTTAGGAATGGAATTTAAGGTTTTTTTTATAAATGAGATGTTTTTACTTGAACCGTATTTGCTGGTTTGGTCTCTTTGTATTTTTATAGTTATCCAAATCTGGTCTGGTCTGGTCTGGGACAGATTACAGTCCAAGTAAAAACATTCATGATGTTTGGTGTACAAATCTTTTAAAAATTAATGGAAAAGTGTCAAATTGTCCTTTACCGCTTTGTTGTTAAAACCGGACCGGGAGACGACCCGGGCAAGCGAAGGGTCACGAGTCAACCCGGACCCGAGAGGTCAACCCGGACAATGTTTATTTGTTTTTTATCATAAAAGAGCGGTCATTATATTAAAATCAAAAACACATACATGACAACCTTGAGGCATAATTTACATATCCAATCGTGAATCCTAGGAGTAGATTTAGAATTAGTCACCTCATACAAAGCAACATAACTCGCTAAACCTGAAACGGGCAAATTTAGGCCTAAAACGGTCGGAACTGAAACCCTGGCTATCAAAAAAACTCAAAAAATCCAAAAACATTCCAACCAAATCTACTGAACTAAAACATAAACAAATGCAACTAAATAGAAAATAATAATAAAATAAAAACAATTCCACAAAGTTCAATCTTCATGATGTGGAGGTGGTTCCGGAGGAGGACGAGCTCTTACAATATGGGTGAATACCAACTCCACCACCGTCGGAATGGCCGCGCGACCAAGGCTTCACTATCCCGCCTCGATACAACCTCTCAGTCGCACCTCGCTCATCCGCCAACGCTATCTCTTCTGACGTAGTTGCAATCCCAAGCGTTATAACACTTACAATCAGTATAATCTGCCGCTTCAACCTCATATTGACAGGGGCAACTGAAAATCTCAACCCCTACAAAGAGTGGAGACGGCCGCTAGGGTTCCTCTCTCTAGAGAGAAGAGAGAACCGTAAGAGGGGAGAAGTTTTTTTCTATTGGATTATAAATCTAACCCGGTCAATGTTTATTGAAAATAAAATATAAAATATATCTAATTATATATTAGATTAAAGTTGTATGGTAAAAAATTATTGTCATTCAAAATTATTAATAATTATAAAATTAAATCGAAAGTTGATGTATCAATAAATAAAAAAATCATAAAATTAAAGATGTGTTTGGAACTAGATGAAAAATATGAGAACACAATATTTATTATTTATATAAAAAATTACAATTATGATTGATAAATGTAATGGATGTTTTATAAATATGTATTAGTTTATTAATAATATGTATAATGATAGTAGTAGCAATAAAAAAAATGGTTATTATAGTGACTAATACGGTGCGTATATATGGTGCTTTGGAGACGAGGGTTCGAAACCCTCCCTTGTGAAAGAGTCCCTATATCCTACATCCGGCCCAATTAAGGAAGACATCCCATTAATTAATACATGCCATTTTTTCAGTAGCATTTTTGTAATTTAAGCAAAAAAATCGGTGTTTTTCGTTAAATGTGTAATAGTGAACCTCTAGTGAGCATTTGACCTATTTTATTGGGTATTAGGAGGCTGACAATGAATATCACGATCTTTGCTTTATATCTTCTAATTTATTTTTCTTTCCTTATTGTTTCTTTTATAAAAACTTATTAAATTATATCAATAATCGACTCCAATTAATTTCAATATGTGAATCTAATGTAATATGATACTTTTGAAATATGATCTTACATTTTAAAATGAGCACTACATCAATACCAAATGGGCATACATGACTTAGAAAGTGCACATTGATGTGAAAAACGCAAGGTTTGTTAGTTGAACATCATAACATTGTAATCGAGCATCAAATCTCCGCTATTGAGATGAAAATCACGGTTTATGGTGAATGAGCATTAATGAACCTTTGATGAGCATCACAACTATTCTGCTGAGTATTAAGAGTCTAATATTGAGAATCTTGATCTCTGTTTTATAACCTCTAATTCACTTTGGTTTTGGACAAAAGAATAAGAAAAATCTCTCTCTAGGGTTGCCGCAGGGCAACTGCTAGTTTTCGATCGTCCGCTATTGGCCTAGCCGAGGAGTGGGGCTTGGATTTTCCGGCCACCTGTACATCAGCTACGTACAGGCTTTGGAAGGAGGGCGCCGTAGAGGCTGGATCGTCCGCTGTTGAAGGAGGATGGATTTCGGATCGACAGCTTCGTGGAGGTTTTTGGACGAGCAAACACAGTCGACAGAGCAGCAGGCGGAGGAGCAATTATAGACCGGCGAATCGTTTCGCTATCTGGAAAAGCAAGGGTGTATGGAAAACATCGTGGATCAGTACAAAAAATGGTGATTGGCGCGGAGGAACAAGAACTTGATCTTGATGAATTCGAACTTGAGGATACCCAGACTGGGGAGAACAGACCGGGATTTCCGGTTGTGGGAGTTTTGCTGACAGATCGGAAGGTCAAATTTTTTTCCTTCAAAGAACTCATGGCATCTTTGTGCAGACCGGGAAAAGGAATTTCGATTAAAGAAGTAGGTGATAAGAGGTATCTATTTACTTTTTACCATCCTGTTGATATGAAACATGTGCTTGATGGAGGTCCTTGGCAGTTTGAGCGTAATTTGCTGATTTTGAAAGAGGTTAAGCTAAGCCTGATGATGTTCCACATAAAATATGTTTAAATGAGGCTGAGTTTTTTGTTCAAGTTCATAATGCTCCTTATAGTTTAGTGAATTTAGGAGGGTTGGTAACTTTATCGGAAAATTTATCAGATATGATGATAAACAGTATAGTGAAAAATGGGAATCTTATATGAGGGTCAAGGTGAGTATGAATGTGGAAAAGCCTTTGAAAAAAGGTACAAATCTTAAGAAATGAGGTATGAGCTACTAGGTGGAGCATTCTCATGTGCATTCAAATGACAATGAATCGCATGATGAGAATGCTGATTCTAGTGAAACCGATTTGCATGATTATCAACTTGCTAGAGATAGAAGTAGGAGAGTATTTAGGAGAACTACGATAGTATGCCTGATTATGCTTTCCATATGTGTGATACTTCTATGTTTGCTTTCTTTGTGTTTGAGACTCACGATCTTAACGAAGGCTACTCCTCGATATGAAATATGAATATGAATATGAATTAGGCAAAGATTCCCATCTTTGCTGATATGAAATATGAATATGAATTAGGCATACTCCTCGATTGAGTGGATAAAAGCAAAGCCAAGTCTTCATCTATATTAAGCAAACCACGTAAGTCGTTCATCTTCGCGTTTAATTAATTAAACCAAGCCAAACTAAAAAAAAACCTTTTGTTACTAGTTCTATAAAAAGAAAACAATTTCTTTCCCTGTGGATACGAACCTTACTACACTATACTATGTATTAGTGTTGTATTGATTATTATTTTGAGTGCATACACGACAAAGTGCACGTCAAATTTGGCACCGTTGCCGAGGAAAGGCAATTATTTTTCTTTTTATTTTATTTCAAGAAAAATAAAAAAATTAAATAAACAAAATATAAAGAGTTCTTATTCTTCTATTTCTGAGCTTTGTGAAGTATATGGTTAAACACCGTTCTATTAACGAAATCACATACCAAACAAACCCCAGAGTAGAACAAGCCTTCGAGGGGTTTAGGAATTTATTTCCAAATACTTCTTCGGAGGAATCATCAAGTGCTAGCTCTAGTTCTAGCGAATCTGAAGAGCCAATCACTATGGCTCAAGAAACAAGAACTTTGAGGGAGCTCACAGCTCCGAACTTGAATCAACAACCGTTATCTATTACCTTCCCTACACTCAACGAGGGTAATACATTTGAGCTCAAATCGGGGCTCATTCATCTTTTGCCAACCTTCCATGGCATAAGGGGGAAGATCTGAACAAACATCTTTCGGCGTTCCATATTGTATGCACGAGCATGTGCCCCACGGAGTCACGGAGGAACAAATCAAGCTCAGAGCTTTCCCATTCTCCTTGAAGGACACCGTTAAAGACTGGCTTTTCTATCTTCCTTCGGGAAGTATAGAAACGTGGGTGGCTATGAAGAAATGCTTCTTGGAAAGGTACTATCCCGCTTCCAACTCATCCCTTAAAAAGCAAATTAGCAATATTGAACAAGGTGATGATGAATCACTTTACGAATATTGGGAGCGCTTCAAAAAGCTTTGTGCCAGTGCCCATACCATGGGTACACGGAGCAAGACCTCATCCTCTACTTCTATGATGGTCTTGCGGAACATGATAGGCGAATGGTGAATGCGGCGTGCGGAGGGGCATTGTGAACAAAACCCCTTCTCAAGCAAGAAATCTCATCTCGGAGTTGGCTGAGAACTCTAGGCATTACAACGGGAGATCCTTAACCCGTAAAGTTGCCGCGATGGAATCTACATCATCACTGGAGAGTCAAATGGCCGGTTTGACTTCTTTGGTTAAGGACTTTCTCATAAATCCTAGAACCCAAGAGGTCAAGGTCTGCGGCATATGT